ATTAAACTTATATTTGGCCACCTTTATCAGTTATGCCAGCAGGGGGAACCATTTGAACTACTTATAGAACACTAGACCTTAAGCCCCTGAAGGAACAATATTAGGCTTATTTATCTTTTTATACCTCACAACCACGTTATGGAACAGTTAAATACTGCAATAAAAATGATGATTACAAAGGAAAATTTATTCAAAGTTAGGAAAAAACTTAATATGACCTGGAAGAACTTAATTCAGAAAACTATAAGCAGATTAAACAATAACACTGTCCCATGACAGGAATCTATCTCCCAAATAATTCTTCAGAATAACCAGATTTATCACTAATCCCTCATTTTATTTTCTATTTCTCAAAGAATAAACCTGAAAAAAAATCTTTTCCTTTAGCATAGAGATCTGTTACATTACTTCAACAATGTATAGAACACAAGCTCGACATTATAAACAGTTAACAAAATAATCTGAAGATATGATTAAAAAGTACATGAATTCTGTCTTCCATATCAGAAGAAATACAGAATAAACCCTTATCTTCAAACAAGATAAACAACCTTTCCTTTTTTTAAAAGTATATATACAGTTAGTGAACATACCATATGGTCCTATTAAACACAAAAGCCTAAGTTTAAAAAAACAAAAAAAAGCTTAGAACCAATTAAGGCAAAACAAAAATTAATAGCCAATAAAAGGCATTTTAGGTATTATACTAAATGTTACCCACAACACTTCTGTTTGCCATGATAACATGTTAGTTACATACATAACAGCAATGTATTATTCATTTTTTCCTCATTTACTTTAGTTTATCAACAATAGACCCCATTTAATGAAGATTTTCACATGAATTATCATAATTAATAGACTATAAAAGAAAGGAAATATATTCTTTACATTTGCTTGAAAGTAAGAATTACTACGGTTCTCAACTTGAATATCCATCTGAATAAACAATGAAACTGAAACAGAAAAACAAATTCCCAAGCAACACAACAAACTTAGACAATCAGAATTTCTGGAGGTTTGAAATCATTAATGTATATTTTGAGAAAGCTTTCTGATACACAAAAAATATTGAGGACTACAAACTTAATACATTTCCTTTACTAGACTCTAAGACAGAATTAAAAGTATCTCACAACTATGGCTAAATGGGTTATACTTAGGGAGACCACATGTCCTGGTTAGGTTTCTATTCCTGTCATAACTAATAGCACACCTTTTCACTCTCAAAAGAGTCCTGGTTTAGAAAATAAATATGATCATTCTAGTAATATTAAAATATCCTTTTAGGAGTTAAAAGTTAATATTAAAGAAATTATAAACATCCCTTTTATAATGACACTAATTCTATCATTACAATTTTAATAACTCTGAACACAAATGCCTTGATATCAAAGAAAGAGCATTCTTGAATATTGTTATCAAGAGAAAATTTTCTGAAAGACTGAAAATACAGCTATTATAGAGGTTAGACTAGAAATAAGGTCATAACAAAATTTTATGAAGTTAATTTTTAAAGTATGGTATCAAAC